ATATTAGGGACTAAATTTGGTATTTCAACTTAACTTTTTAGCAATTTAATAATTGATCTTATTTTGTTGTTGTATCTACTTTAAGTTATATTATGTTAATTTTAAATGTAGTTTTTTTAATTTAATGGTATATATAAAGAAACTTTTAATTGAAAAAATATATATATATTAATATTTTAATAATTATTTTGTAGGTTAATATACTTGAGCTCTTGTGGATCCTCATCAATTACAAAATAAGTTTCATTTTCAATATATTTTTGTAATTGTATAGTTAAATATTAATTTTTTTATTAAATAAAAAATCAATCATTTGTGTATGATAAATTTTGTTGATGATTAAATTTAACATATTTATATATATATGTATATATATGATAAATTAGGATTTTAACCAACTAAAAAATATGTGAAAGATATCATAATTATTTTGAAACTAATCATGTTATTAATTTTATTTTATTGATTTAATAAGATTATGGAGGATCGTAGTTGGATGTATAGGCGTTGAACTCCACGAGGAGAGATATATAATGAGTTCTATAGTGGAGTTGAATATTTCCTTCAATTTGCATACAATAGCCTTGGTCTTCAATCGAATGATTTAATCAGATGTCCTTGCACTAAATGTTTTAATTTACCGTTGATAACTCAGGAAATGGTATGGGACCATCTTACTAAGTATGGTTTTATGAATGCTTATTCTGTTTGGTGGGCACATAGTGAGACATTTGTGAATTCAGCAGATCCATGGTCTGCTACTAATTTGGGAGAATCATCACATAGCCAAGATACACACCATGATGAAAGGAATGACTTTCGTCAAATGGTGTATGATGCATTTTGTCCAGTGGATGATAATAATCGGGAAATGGAAGGTAATTTCCCCAATCAACATTTGGACGAGGAACCAAACAATCAAGCAAAGGCATTTTATGACTTGCTTCATGCATCTACAATTCCACTTGGTAGTGCTAAAAGAAATGAGACAGTGCTTAGCTGGCTTTTTTATATGTTGCATACAAAGACTGCAAATAATATAACTGCTAATGGTTTTAATGCCATTCTCAAAGGATGTAGAAGGTTGTTAAGTGCTGAAGATCAAGAAAAAGTTTCTTCAAACTTTTATGAAGTAAAAAAAAATATGAAGGGGCTTGGGTTAGGTTATCTAAAAATTGATGCTTGTGTTAACAATTGCTTTTTATACTATGGGGAGCATACGAAAACATTGACTACATGTCCAATTTGTGGAGAAGTGAGGTATAAACAAAGAAATCCAGGGAGGAATAGACAAAAGGACATTATGAGGAATTCTCTTCGGTACTTACCAATAATACCTCGCCTTCAGATACTATACATGTCTTGAAAAATAACTGAGCACATGACATGGCATTTAAAATGTTGTGGTGATACGGATGAGGTCATTCATCCAGCACAATCAGAAGCATGGAGACATTTTAATCAAATGCATCCTTCTTTTAAAAGAGAACCTTGTAATGTTTGATTAGGTCTTGCTACTGATGGTTTCAACTCATGGGCTCATTCTTCAACCTCTTACTCTTGTTGGCTAGTTTTTTTAATTGTTTATAATTTGCCACCAGAGATGTGCATGCGACCAGTGTTTACTTTTATTACATTGGTCATTGCTGGTCCAAAAAGCCCAGGCAAAAATATCGATGTTTTCCTTCGACCTTTAATTGAAGACTTGAAAATGTTATAGTTGACTGGTCTAGAAATATATGATAGTTATCGTAAGCAAAACTTCATAATGCGGGCTATGTTGATGTGGACCATAACTGACTTTCCGGGTTATGGTATGGTGGCTAGTTGGAGCACTCATGGCCAATTGTCATGTCCTTACTGTATGGAGATGACACAATCTTTTTTATCTTCAAAATGGTCGGAAACCATGTTTTTTTTATTGTCATCGTTAGTTTTTACCAGAATCACATTCTTTCAGATTTGATCAGAGTAATTTCTTGAAGGGTCGGGTTGAATTAGGCAATCCCCTCCTCGATTGGATGGTGTTTCAATGTGTCATCGAGTTGAAAACCTTCCTGATGTGTTGTTTGGGAAACCCTTTGAAAACCAAACAATTGAGGGTTTTGGGAACATCCATAATTGGGTGAAAAGGTGCATTTTTTGGAAACTTCCTTATTGGCATGATAATCTTATTCGACATAATCTTTATGTAATGCACTGTGAGAAAAAAATTTTTGATAATATAATACACACTGTTATGAATGACAATAAGACAAAAGACAATGGGAAAGCAAGATTGGATTTAGCCATTTATTATGACCGAAGAAAACTGCACATGGGATATAATACACATGGTAAGCTTGTGAAACCTAATGCTAGTTATGCACTGACATTTGAAAAACAAAAGCTTCTATGTGCATGGCTAAAACAGTTGCGCTTTCCAGATGGGTTTGCTTCCAACATATCAAGATGCGTCAACTTGAATGAGTCCAGGTTATTTGGGATGAAAAGTCATGATTGTCATGTTTTTATGCAACGACTAATTCCAGTTGCTTTTCGTGGTTTATTTCCATCTGCTATTTGGGGTCCTTTGACCGACATTAGTAACTTCTTTCATTCACTTTGTTTCACGGTCATTAAAGTTACTAAGATGCAGAAGTGGGAGGCAAAGATTGTTGAAATAATTTGTAAGTTAGAAATAATATTCCCCCCAGCATTCTTTAATTCTATGGAACATCTAGCAATTCATCTTCCATATGAGGCCAGAGTTGGTGGTCCTGTTCAATTTCGTTGGATGTACCCATTTGAAAGGTAAAACATACAAAGAAATTGATTGATAATTTTAAAACTTACTTTTGATTACTTTTTTGTAAATTAATCTTATTAGTATTTCTTTTCAAGCGCATGCGCAAACTTAAGAGTACCATAGGGAATAAAAATCATGTCAAGGCATCAATTGTTGAGGCATTTATATTATATGAGATATCCCATTTTTGCTCTCGTTATTTTGGGGATGATGTTGAGACAAGCTAGAATCAGCCTCCAAGGAACTATGGTGGCATGGGAACCAACATCCCAAGTAAGTTATCTATATTTTGTTCCCCTGGTGAACCAATAGGGGCCCACTCACGTACACGACGTTTAACATTGGAGGAGAAAAATGCAACTGAACTATATGTCTTGCTAAATTGCAAGGAGGTTGATGTTTGGGTAACGTAAGTTTTACTTCTTAGGAAAATAAGAATTACACGATATTTAATAGCCTATATGATTTTTATAACGTTTTAATTAATAAATAAATGTTATTTTACAGTAAATTTGAGGAAGAAGTTGGTGCAAATTTGAGGAAGAAGTTGGTGCAAATTTGTCACATTAACAACTACAAAGATTACGAACAAATAATTTTGTTCAATGGTTTAAAAATATGGTAATGAATTGTTATCTATTATTTTCTCAAAATTTTAATTAAATATTAAATATTACTAAATTAATTTTTTTTCAAATATATGTGTTTAGTGGACAATATGAAATCAATGAACAACTTATCCACCTTGCAGTTGGCCCGATCTTTGAAGTGAATGTTTATAATGGGTTCTTTGTGAACGGCTTTAAATTTTTTACTGAAGAGTTTACTAGTACTAGAAAGACATATAACTGTGGTGTTTGTGTTAAAGGAACCACCATTAATTCTGCAGATGAAATTGATTATTATGGTGTCTTAAAAGAGGTGATCGAGTTATTGTATTATGGACACTCAGGCCATCAAGAGACTATAATATTGTTTAATTGTGATTGGTATGACACGAACCGAGGAATACGTGTCAATGTTGAACACGAAATTGTTGATGTCAATCCAAGGTTTAAACTTTCAACGGGGGAGCCATTTTGCCTTGCTAGTCAAGCACAACAAGTCTATTATACTCCATATCCAGCAGCCACGGATAGAACTACCCGAGGATGGTTGGCAGCATGTAAAATCAAATCTAGACATCTAATTAAGACCTCATCTACCTCATCTTCAGAAGAGGTTGATGATATGTTTCAAGATGATGACCCCTTCATAATGCAAGGCTCTTCATTAGCTATAGATTTAACTGCATACCAATCACTTCAACTATGTGCAGAAGGTGTTACAGAAGTTGAGATTGATGCTAATACATCTGAAGAAGAGGAGGACTATGGAGAAGAAAAAGATTCAGAATCCTCAGGAAATAGTGATAATGTTGAGGATGGTGATGATAGCGATGATAGTAATGCTTAATTGAAACATTTATATTATTACTTATTAAATATATGTATTAAAATTTCTTTGTCTTACATATATTGTTTTATCAAGTTATATATTTTTCATTTAAAATAGAATCATTGTATGATTGTTCTAAATTTGTTACTTATTATATGTATAAATGTATTAATAACTATTTTGTTATTCATTTTTTAGGATGTCTGGAAATCCTACAGGTTCAGCAAGGAGGAGATCTTCCTCCTCAAGATCACAAGAGCAACACAATTTTAATCACCCACAACTGTTTACTGATAGTAACGTAGCTCCGAATATACAGCAAATGATTGATCCATTAATGAATTATAATTTTGCACCTAATCATGAGAACGAGGGCCCTTCATCCTTGACGGGGAAAAAAGGACGGAGCAAGAATTTCAAAGGAATACGCCCTCTAGAAAATAGAGAAAGCAAGAAATGGGTTAAACTCACTGATGATAAGCTCCAATTTGCTAATCCAAACATCCCTTGGGCTATCACTTCACTATGGAAGTCACGTTTTGATGGCTCGTATTTCACATACGAGCGTGTCCCCCAAAGCAAGATTGCTAAAATTTATAATTGTTTCAAGGTAAGATTAAGTTTTAGCAAATTTAATAAAATGAATGGATTTAGCAATTTCGAATAAAAATAAATAATTTCATTACTAAACTAGAATTTACATTTCTCAGACATCTAATGTTATTTATTTCTTATTTTGTAGACACTTTACCTGTGGGATCCTGCAGATAATCGCCATGTGCGAGATGCATTCCTAAATTGTATGAAGCATAGATGGAGTGACAATCTCAGGGATGAGAAGTTGAAATGGGACAAGAACTCAGCATATGTCCCATGTTGGATCCCAACTCATATATGGCCTCAACTGCTGACATATTGGGACTCTGATGAATATAAGAGGCTTAGTGCAAGGGGAGCAAAGAATATGAGCTCTGGGGAAAGGGTGACTCACACCACTGGGTCCATTAACTTTGGCATCCATGAGATGCGGATAGTAATCAAGCTTAATTAATAAAAAATTTAATATATTAGATTTTATTTAACAATAAATTGTGTCAATTTATACTAACCAATATATTGCATTATCAATATTTTGAAATATAGACTGAGTCTAGAGGTGGTGTGCAACCTCCCCATCAGGAGAAATTTAAGGAGACGCACACCTTCAGAAAAAAGACAGGAAAGGATCAAGAGTCAGCATGGATCAATGAAAAAGCAAAGTATCGATATGTAAGTATATATAACATATAAATTAGCATAAAATGTATAGTTATAAGTGTGAAAAAAATTTATGTAATTAATCTAAATTATTTAGCAAAGTTTACTTTTTTTTATAGATTCTTTTCAAACTACTTTTGACAACATTATTACTATTACTATTATTTTTTCAGGATATTTATGTTGCGGAGTGCACAGAGAGTCATGGCTCTGATGCTAGTTCGTGGCCACGCATGGATAACGAGGCATGGGTTAAGGCTATTGGAGGTTGCTCATCTAATTTCATGCCAGGGATTGGCTCCCAAGTAAATCCAGAGATGGTTGGTTTTACTTACAGGAAAAGACAACCTCAAGAAAACTTAATAGCAGCACTGATGGCGTCTAACTATGAGGAGACACAGGCAAAAGATCATGAGGAGTTAGAAAGACAACGACAACAAATTGCTTTGATGCAACAGCAGCTGGCCAATATGATAGAAGCTCAGAATAATATGAGCCAGACAATTGCACAGTCTGTTGCAGCAGCTCTAGCCGCTCATGGCATCTCCCTTCAGGTAGGTCATCATCCAGTTGCCCCACCACAACCGTCACATGGTCCTGGCTCAGGTCTTCGCATGAATTTAACTTTCACCTACTCCACTGATTCTACACAAACCTCTCCTATGGTCCCTGAATATCAGCAGCAGCGGCAGTTTCTGCCTCAAGATGATGATGCATACCATCCTACTTTTGATCCAGACTATCAG